TGTCAGGAGATGGAATCCCAGGAAGATGACAGGAGCTAAGGGTAGCATTTGAACCAGCGATGGATTACACAATAAATTGTGTTCTGGCAGTGGGGAGAGAGGCTTAAAACTCCCACACTGTCAAAATTCAATCCCAAAGTAATAAATAAAATCATAACAGCTACAAGAAATACGTTTGTTTATTTGTTTGTTTTAAGAAAACTGATCTCAGAATGGTTTCTCTCTTTTTTAATTTTAAGAATTTATTTAAGCAAAATCATTTGGAATCTGGGAAGGTTCATGAGAGGAACTTTGTAAACAAAAAAGCGAAGAAGGAAACCATAAGAGAAAGATTGGTAGGTCTGGCTATTTAAAAATTTAAATTTCATGAAAGTTAAAAAAAAACAAAAAACCCTAAACAATATGTAAAGTCAAGCTGACAAAAAAAGATAAAAATTAGCAAAGGACATAAATAGCAAATTTCACACACAAAGAAAGAAATATAAGTGGCTAATAAAAACATGAAAAAAAGTTCAAACTCACTAGTAAAAAAAATAAAATTAAGGAAATAAGCTGTAAATATTTTAAAAGAATGAGAACATTCAGTGCGGATGAAAGAGCTGAGACGTAGACATTCTACCATAGGGCTAGAAGGAGTGTAACTTGAAACAACTTTTTATAGCATAATCTGCATCAAAAATCTTTAAAATATTCATAGCTTTGTTATGATAATTCCACTTTTAGATTTAAGCCTATAAATATGTACCAAAAATTAGATGTTTAAAATTAGTGTACAAAACTATTGATTAAGATGTTATTTACAGCAGGAAAAAAAAACTCCAAAAACAACCTAAATGCCCAACAATAAGGAATTAATGAAATAACCTGTCATACATGCATATAATAAAATACGTGTAGCCCTTCAAAAATCATGTTTTAAAGGCAACTGATTGGGAAGTGTTTATGAAAAGACAAGTTACAAAGTAATAAATATATATAGCTAAAAGCCTTATTTGTTTTCCTTTAAGTGTGCATTCATGCTTACATTCATTAAAGAGAGGTTGAAAAATATGTCAAAATGTTAAAAATTGTAAAGGTGATTGGATTAAGAATTATTTTCTTTGCACATGTCTGTTCTTTGTAAAATTTTACTTTGAACACATATTGCTTTTGAATAAGAAAGTATTTTTGAGAAGATATGTACAGTTTTAAAAGTTTTCTTGTAAAAGCATTCAGGATAACAGCCCATTGTCCTGAGTATTACACCATATAGCTCTCCATATAGTATTTCATCACATAGCTCTGTCTATCTGTTTGGGTTCTCCTGCAACTAAACTCAAACTCTTCTATGCTGACCACACTGCAGTAACTGCAGTTCCCTGAACTAACCCTACTCTCTCTCCTCTATTCCTCTGCATTGCAGTGCCCCATGCCTGCAGAGGATAGCTGATGACAGATAGATATCAACAATAACAAGAGGGTCTCATTATCTTGGCTCTGAAATACTGTGACCGCTTGGGAGGATGATTGCTGGGGCCCCTTACTCAGTTCCAGTGGAGACCTGAGCCAATGGGCTCAGCAGCTTGGCAGATGAGTTTGTTATTTTATGAATTTAAAGGAAACTTGAAAACTGAGAAGATTCCCTAATCCAAGATATACTAGTAGATAACTAGAATCTTAAAATCTGCTTAAGGGCTAGAAAAGAGAGGAAGGAAGGAAGGAAGGAAGGAAGGAAGGAAGGAAGGAAGGAAGGAAGGGGAGGGAGGGAGGGAGGGAGGGAGGGAGGAGTGGGAATTCAAGACATCTTGGACAGAGATGACAGCAGGGATCCAGGGGTAAGGCAGGAAAAGACTGCTATGAAACTTGCCCATTTAGCCTATTCCACTCTATTCACTCTGTATTTTTAAACTCATGTTCTTCTTGTGGGTAGCAACTTACATTACTTTGTTTTTATTAAATTCAATGAATGTTTATTTCATAACTGTTAAATGGAAATCATTATGCTGGGCAGTTCATTCATTCAGCCTGTAAATATACTATTCGATGGTTTCTATGTGCCAGGCTCCAAGCTTGGTGCTAGTTTTTGGAAATATGGAAACAATTAAAATGTGTTACCTGCCCCCAAATATTTCATGGTGCTGAGTGAATCAGAGTAATGCATGACTTACGCCTCAGGACGCTAAGTGCAATAATAGATGTACTAGAAGGAACAATTGTGATAAAGATTGGGAGCAATTAACTAGAGTTTGAGGGAAAGTCTTATAAGGAAAGAGATATTTAAAATACAGTTTGAAAGTTGAGTGACCACTCAACAAAGGGACAAAATGGAGGTAAGGATGGAAGTGTGGGCATTTCATACAAGGAGGAGGGAATTATATGTATCTTATACAGTGTGCTCAGAAGTGTGAAACGGTAGAGCATAGTTAGGGATTGCAAGGAGTCTAAGGAAATACGCAAACACCAAGCATATACTTACTTTTGTATTTCAGCCAAAAGACAGTGGACCTGGAAAAGCAGTCAGAGATGGCTGGACATGAACCTGAGGTCTCTGCGGGGCTACTGAAAGCCTGCTAGGAAGATAATGAATGGCAGAACGAAAGCTGTGTCATAACATGAGTGGTCTGGAAATGGCTGCTCTATCCCAGGCACCTCAGTCCTTTTCAATCAGGTTACAAAACTCAGTATGCTCCTTTAGTGGGTTTTCTCATTCATCCCTCTATATCCAAGCAGTCATCAATCCACGTTAATTTTTCCTTCAAAAATAGCCTTTCTTGCCCGGCCGGCCTGGCTCAGTGGTTGAGCATCAACCTATGAACCTGGAGGTCACGGTTCGGTTCCCAGTCAGGGCACATGCCGGGGTTGTGGGCTCGATCCCAGTAGGGGACATGCAGGAGGCAGCTGATCAATGGTTCTCTCTCATCATTGATGTTTCTGTATCTCTCTCCCTCTCCCTTCCTCTTTGAAATCAATGAAGATATATTTTTTTTGAATAGCCCTTCTTCTCTTATCAGGGTCAACACCTACACATTCTTGGATAACTGCAAAACCCTCCTGGTGAGTCTAGCTTATCTGTGTTTGCAAACCTAGCACCCAACATACTTCCTGGCACATGGCAAGCAATCAATAAATAAGGTACACACACGCTCAACTGGGGATGGGAGGAAAACATCACCAACTACCTCAAATTACAGGTAAAACAAATTGGAGTTATCTCTCATTAATTCCAGTATGGGGGCAGGTACCTCACCAAAGGTTCTGAATAAGGTCCCAAAAGGGACCTAATATTATTAATACTAGTGGCCAAGGGCACAAATTTGTGCACCTTGAAAGGAACTGTGGGCCGTGAGGCTGTGGTAGGCACAGGGACAGGTCTCAGCCCATCCTCCATGCCCCCACCCGGCCCTTCCCTCTGCAGCCTCCAGTCCCCTGTCTGCCAGCAACCCCTCTCCCGCCGCTGCTCCCATGCACTGCTGGTGCGGAGCTATTGGGGTTGGCACCAGCAGCGGGTGCGAGTGGGGCCGGCACCATTAGCAGGTGTAAGCTGCGGCTGCTGCCCTGATTGCCCCTCAGGAGGAGGAGGAGGTGGAGAAGCCCCCAAGGGCAATCAGGGCTGGCAGCCACCACTCATACCCATTGATGGTGCCAAGCAATTGGGACTGGCCTGGGCACCGGCAGCAGGTGCCAGAGGGGCCAGTGCTGGCAGCAGGTGCGAGTGCCGGGCGGGACCAAGGTGCACAGGAGCAAAGAATCTTCAGTAACCACCAGAGGCTCACCCTGATGACAGCAACAGGCCACCTGCTCCACCATCCTGCCATGGCTGATGCCCACCATGTTCCACACACGCTCCCTGGTGGTCAGTGCATGTCAGAGTGACTGGTTGTTTGGTTGTTCCACCGATCGGTCTATTTGCATATTAGCCTTTTATTATATAGGATTATTTGGGAATAGGAGAGGAGGTGAAGCAGAAGTGGAGCTTCCCAGTTAGCTTCCTAGTTTGGGGTCCTAGTAGATCCAAAAAGCTAAATTCTCCATGGACAGTTTCCCTCATTTTCCCCCTATCCCAGGAGGATAAT